AAAGCCAAATCAAGAACGAACTGCCATTCACAACTGCTACAAAGAGAATAAAATACCTAGGAATACAACTAACAAAGAATGTAAAGGACCTCTTCAAGGAGAACTACAAATCACTGCTCAACGAAATAAGAGAGGACACAAATAGATGGAGAAATGTTCCATGCTCATGGTTAGGAAGACACGAAAATGGCCATACTGCCCAAAGTAATGTACAGATTCAACGCTATCCCCATGAAGCTACCAATGACTTTCTTCACAGAACTGGAAAAAACCACCTTAAACTTCATATGGAACCAAAAGAGAGCCCGCATTGCCAAGCCAATTCTAAGCAAAAAGAACAAAGCTGGAGGCATCACACTACCTGACTTCAAACTATACTACAAGGTTACAGTAATCAAAACAGCATGGTACTGGTACCAAAACAGAGATATAGACCAATGGAACAGAACAGAGGCCTCGGAGGCAATGCCACACATCTACAACCATTTAATAAATGGTGTTGGGAAAACTGGCTAGCCATGTGCAGAAAGCAGAAACCGGACCCCTTCCTGACACCTTACACTAAAATTAACTCCAGGTTGATTAAAGACTTAAACATAAGACCTAACACCATAAAAACCCTATAAGAAAACCTAGGCAAAACCATTCAGGACATAGGCACAGACAAGGACTTCATGACTACAACACCAAAAGCATTGGCAACTAAAGCCAAAATAGACAAATGGAACCTAATTAAACTCCAGAGCTTCTGCACGGCAAAAGAAACAATCATTAGAGTAAATCAGCAACCAAAAGAATGGGAAAACATTTTTGCAATCTACCCATCTGACAAAGGACTAATATCCAGAATCTACAAAGAACTAAAACAGATTTACAAGAAAAAAACAAACAAGCCCATTCGAACTTGGGCGAAGGATATGAATAGACACTTTACAAAAGAAGACATCAATGAGGCCAACAAACGTATGAAAAAATGCTCATCATCACTGGTCATTAGAGAAATACAAATCAAAACTACATTGAGATACCATCTCACATCAGTTAGAATGGTGATCATTAAAAAATCAGAGACAGATGCTGGAGAGGATGTGGAGAAATAGGAACACTTTTATACTGTTGGTGGGAGTGTAAATTAGTTCAACCACTGTGGAAGACAGTGTGGCGATTCCTCAAGGACCTAGAAATGGAAATTCCATTTGACCCATCAATCCCATTACTGGGTATATAGCCAAAGGATTATAAATCATTGTTTTATAAGGACACATGCATATGAATGTTCATTGCAACACTATTTACAATAGCAAGGACTTGGGACCAACCCAAATGCCCACTGATGATAGACTGGACAGGGAAAATGTAACACATATACACCATGAATACCATGCAGCCATAAAAAACGATGAGTTCGTGTCCTTTGTAGGGACATGGATGAACCTGGAAACCATCATTCTCAGCAAACTGACACAAGAACAGAAAATCAAACACCGCATGCTCTCACTCACAGGCAGGTGTTGAACAATGAAAACACAGGGACACAGGGAGGGGAGCATCACACACTGGGGTCTATGGGGGGGACTAGGGGAGGGACAGCAGGGGATGGGGAGTTGGGGAGGGATAACATGGGGAGAAATGCCAGATATAGATGATGGGGGGGAAGGCAGTAAACCATATTGCCATGTATGTACCCATGCAACAATCTTGCATGTTCTTCACACGTACCCCAAAACCTAAAACATAATTAAAAAAAAAAAAAAAGAATGACTCAGCAAGATAAGCTGTGAGTTTATTAAGGGATTACCACATATTTTTATTTATACTATAAAATGAAAATATGAACAGGCAGTATTCAGTATGTACATATAACTCAACTCCTTTGACCCCCAAAATGTGCATGTATTCTTGTGGGAAACCATACACATGGCCAAGTCACAGAAAGGAGAGAGGCATACACCAGGCACAGACCAGTGTCTAAGACCTGGCAGTGTCTGCACAGGAACAATTCACTGAGATCAGGGTACATG